AGACTTCGTTTTACAGTAGCACTGCTAATAGCAATTTCTGTTGCTTTACTGCAAGTCATGGCCTTGGTGTTTACATTGGCTTTGTGCCACTGGAGCTTACAGCAGCCAACAGGTCATAACAGAGCAGAACTGAGGGAATCTTTGGAAAGTTAAATTATCCAAAAGGGTCGTGCTGCGTTACCCAGCAGGGTCTACATGCTTATAAGCTGGTGCAAATTGGCAGACATTCTCTAAGGGAGGTGAAGCTGTAGTGATTTACATCAGCAAGTGCCCTAGAAGCCACAAGGAAAATTAACAGTCTGTATTTTATAAGTTGCAGCAAGAGAAAGAAATCAGCCTCCCATCACTGACTTTCCTGGGGTAGCTCCTGCTGCCTACTGACTGCATCTCCATGCTCCTTCCTCTGTGGATTGTTGTAGGCAGCAGCACCTTGACTGAACAAAAAAAGCCCTTATCTTGAAAATTTTTTGGGGAAAAAGTGGCATCCTGAATTTCTATGTAGTCTAACACGCATTTGACCAAAGCAGCCTTACTAGCACGTAATTTTTATGAAGTCTTGGCATAGGAAAGACCCTGGCTCAGCATTGCTGGGCTTAAAATGTGAACATGCTTAACTTCATTCTGAGTTGTATTCACAGCCTCTGTTTCAGTATCTGGGCTCTCTGTACAGTGCCTGGGGAGACAGACTGATTTCTGAGAATGGTTTACATAATCCGAGCTCAAACACAGAGACTATCTAAGCTAGTCAAGAGGAAATATCAAGGAGAAAGGGGCATATTAAATTTTGTGTCTCTTTAAAGCTTAAAGCTAGTGGGAGTTAATTTGTCTCTGCTCGGGTTTTCATTGTAAACATGAGTCCTCTCCTGATTTTTTTTATATAAAGCAGGAGAGGAAGCTCTTCTTAGATAACATACTCAACTAGGAACCAAGAACCTGGATTCAAATACCTCTTCTACTTGAGGCAACTTGAGCTTTCATCTTTTACATGATCTTGGTGATTAATGAAATATGAATGGAATGTATACTGCTTCCAAATAATAAAAGATGGGTAGGTAGTAAGACCTGCATCTTATATGTGAGTGCTGTGATCATGGCAAGAGTCATCCTCATATTCCTTCTCTCTACCACAATGAATATTTAATTACCTCCCCTAGATAGTAACAGATTCAGAAACAGAGTTGAAAAGCTCCATCCCAGAAGATCCTGTAACTCAGGTCTTAGGCTATCTCTTATGGTATGTATTCTCATCTCCTTGGGCTGAGAAAGGGTATGAGGCAGGACACCTTATAAAGCAGATGACTTCTCAAGCAAACAAGTCACATAGTAAAATATGTGTCCCATCTGCTTCCTGAATATGTGGAAAAAACCTGAAGTGTGCAACACGGGACTTGAGAAGGGGCATTTGCAGTTATATGTTTTTGTAAGTATTAAGGCAAGTCTCGATATTTTGTTTGAAATATGAAATAGGATGTGAGCAGCTCAATATTTTCAACGTAGATACAGTGATACAAGCATTTAAGGAGCCTCACAGGGGAAGCTTAGGCACACAAGGGATTCAGATATCTGCAAAGCTGCATGTGCAGAATTTAAATTTCAGTTATTTAAATGTAAACCTGTTAAGTATCAGCTCAGCATCTAAGCGCTCTTGTGAATGTGAGCTCAGGCAGCTGGGTGAAGGAGCAAGGGAACTCTGAGGCACAAGGACAAATAAAAGGTGCCTCAAGGTCCCTTCCAACTTACATATGGCTATGTAAGGTTCATCCTGGCTGGGGCTGCTCTGAGGCTTGGTGAGACTCTGGCATTCAGATTGTTGCTGCAGGAAATTGCAACCTCAGCTGAGGGGCCAGCAATAGTCATTATGGACTATGTAGCTGAAATGCCAGTAGTCTAGTTTCAAAGGAAGTTCTTTTCTTCTTCTAGGAGCTTGTGCACAGCTATTTCTTTTCCTCTCTGTGTTCCTAGGTATGAGGGTATTTCTTGGCCTCTTGTGGAAGCTACCTTCTCTTTTGGCTAGAAGGCACTGATGCTGTATGAGCTCTTGCAGTATCACATCATGTTCTGGGCAGAGGAATGGATCAGCTCTTGGTGTCTACCCTTAGCCCTGCCATTAGTTCATTCAGTGAATGAGTCACTTTGTGTGTATGTCTCCATTTATGCATCTCTATGGTGGGAAGGAGATCAATGTCTGTGTCAGGAATATTGTTCCACTGTGCTGGCACTAGCAGGCAGATGCTGCAATGCCTATGGTGCAGGGCAGGGCTCTAGCTGCAGAGCAGAGTTTCTTGTTCAGAGGAATTTCCCACACACACTCTGTTTCCAACTGAAACAGGGTAAGTCTAAAAAAAAAAACCTGTCTGTTTAATAGAATATTTGTAAAGGACTCTCACAGTGACTAAGGTGTCAGGTCAGACTGCAACCCTGGCTTGGGTTTGGTAGAAGATTATCAAAGCCACAGCTGAACTGATGTCGTGAGCTGGTATTCTCCAGTGAAAAAGATTATTTTTCTCAAAAGTTCCACAGGCTTCTATCTTGGATCACACATTGCCTTGTTTCCCCTACCATTCTCTTTTTAGTTTATGTTATTTCACACAATGAGCTACTAAAAAACCACAAAGGATACCTCACCTGATGCACTGGTCACTCCAGAGCATCCTCTGGGAAATACAGGATTTCTACCTATCCAGCCTGCTGAAGTTGTCCTTTCACCATGGCAGCATCTGTGATGAGAAGGAAGACAGTTTTGGTCCTTCTCTCACCCTGCCTGGGCTGCAAAAAAAACCCAACTGGCACTTCCCTGTTTGGTCTTCATGCACTTCTTTCCACTCTGCCCTATTTCCAGGTTCCTTATAAAAACTGTGTGGGAGTAGCAATATACAGAAAGTCACTGCCAGCATCAGGATGAGAATCAAATGGAAAAGCTGCTCCATTGAGAGTTGCATAAATGTCCATTTTCACCTCAAACAGCCTGCCAGAGGCAGCAGTCACACCTTTCCTGTGCCTGAGAGGTCTCACAGGTACTGGGAGCACTGGAGGACTTGCAGCTCCAACACCTAAATTTATGAGACTTGGTAAAACATAAACACTCACCTTTAACATGCATGTGTCAGTTAAGTCACAGTTAAGCACTACACTGATTTAAGATCTGAATATCGACCAGCTGGCAGACCAGCCTTCAGCCTCCTCACTTCAGCAGCATGGTACCCTCTCCTTCTGGATGCATCTTCAGGATGAGTTCTTCACTGTAAAGCTCCTTTGCTTGATACTTCCAAAGCAACGTAGGAAATGTTTAATATTTATAAATAGTGAGGATTTCTACCCTGCTTCAGCACTCATTACAGTTGCAGTGATTCAAACCTCCAGCATAGACAGAAACTGCCTTGAGCTGAAACTGAGCAACTATCTAATAAAATATAGTCATGAGATGAATAGAAGCTATACAGTTGAAGTGGCTTGAGCGTACTTGAAAGATTTATTTCCTGGCTTCCTCTGGAGGCCTTTTTAATAGGGAGAATTTGACTCTCATATGTATATATATACATCCTTAATTTCTGGGCAGATACACGAGTGAGCCCACGCCTGGCTTTAACCCTACATTCAGACCCATCCTTAAAATGTTATGGTAACAAGAGTATATATAGAGAGAGCTGGTTAGCCACCCTCTACTTGAATTGCACCTTTTGTCATCTCCTTGGCACTTAAAATACTGTCTTACATTCATGTGCTGTTCATGTGGGAGTAACCTGAGGCAGTTTGAGAGTAGGAAAATCTGTACATGTAGGAAAAGAAGGGGAGTTGCCTTCAGCAAGACAACCTTATTTGACCCTCCTCCTTCCTTTACAGCTGGTGTTTCAGCTGGGACAGGGAAGAATGAGGGGACTGAGGCTAAGGCCAGATGTTGGCATGAGGCATACAGGAGCTGAACAGATTTTCTCCATGCTGTCCTGCCAGTGCACATTAATCCTGAGCCACAGTGCCCTCTGTCTTTCCAGCTCCTGATCCTTTCCCTTAATCTTTCTATTTATACCTTCTGAGCTGGAGCCTCCTTTCTTATGTGGCAGTTTTACACCAGTGTAGATTCATGGCTGTCTGTGGATTTGTTCCTGGATTATTCTCACCTACAAAAGAAGAGAACTAGATGTATCACTTTTAGGTACCAAATGCAGTATTCCCTATCCCTTGGTTGTGTAAATAGTCCCTATATTCCTACTTTTCATCGGTTTGTTCCAACACACAGCAACCTGTTGTTATCCTGGTGCTATATTCCCACACAGCACTCCCTGATGCTGCTGCTGAAGCTGTGCCAGGCAGAGCACATATCTGCAGCTTCCTCCATACTGAGTCAGTCTGGGATAAACTCTGCCAGTGTTGTCTTCCTTGGCATCAGCATCAGCAAGGAGATGTCTACCAGTAGCCTTTTTTTTTCAGCATCACCCCCTCCACATTCAACCTGGCTATTGGAGATTGTCCTGAGGATAGTTAAATGTTCCTCTTAGTACCATTGAAGAGAGCCAGTTAAGGATTTGGACCTTCCTGTTCTCTGCACTGGCCAAATGGAGGAAAAGGCCAGAGCTTGTCTTGCAGAACTGAAGTCTAAGCGCGGCATGATATGTTCTTAATAAAGGAGTGATTATATGAATCACAGTAGCAAAATGTTCTTGCAGAGCACATGCCCCACTCCCTGACTTAAGCATCCAAAGGCAGCTGTACATCATTCCAGAGGAGGGATTCGCCTTAGACAGGGGTTAGCATACAGCCCCCTGTGTTACAGAGGAGTAGCTACGGAGCTAGAATTCAAGAGTGTCTTTTAATGAAGGTACTTGTGGCTGTTTTTTGGGCAAAAATAAATTCCAACTGGCCCATATAGCAAATGAAACTCAACTACAAAAATGTAATGATATTTATTCACCCAGCTGCCAGCAAACTCACATGCACTATGAGTCATTCCAGATGTGGATAAAAACAAAGTCTGTCTGTGAAAGTAAGTTTCCTGATCCCGAGGAGACTTGGTTTGGGAAAGGAGCTGCACACTGACTTCAGCTGTACTCAGAAGAACAGACAGGTTCTTCTTCAAAGGGGGAGGGGGAAAGGAAAAGCCATTATTTATTCCTGAAAAGAAAGGAGGTGGGAAATTGAAAAGCTACTATACAGATAGACACACGTATTTTAAAGAGAAGGATGCTTTGGAAGACTTTGCTGCTGCTGCTGTTCTATTACAGTGCCCATGCCACTGTGACCCCCAGATGGAGCAGAGGTAAGATTTAAACATGTAAAACTATTTAAGATAAAAATTTGACTTTGTAGCTTTGGTCTGAAATTATGCTGCATTATATCTGTGTATATATAGAGAGACATATAGATATATAGATATATATATAGTATATATATATACAATTTGTCCCTCCCAGCTCTGCTATTCTTTTTCTCCATTAAACAGGTCAGTTAAAAATTATACAGATAAATAAAAAAATACACATGAATAAGAGCAAAAAGTTAAAATTATATATGTATTCTATTATAATAAAACATCCCAAGAACCAAAATTACATTCTTGCACATTTTCCTTTCTGTCTTCCTTCTCATTTTTCTCCTGCATTAACAAAAATTAATAATGAAACCTTAAAGTAAAAGCCTTTGCAGTGACAGGTGGCATAATCTTCTGCTCTAGCAGGCAGATACCTGGTAACAGTAAAGACATGAATGTCTAGATTGTGTAAGGTGCCTGGGAATGCCTGTTACCCTATTCTGACAGACTAGCACACACAACATAAGGAAAGCCACTTCATGTGTTATCAGGCTTCAGCTGACAATATGACAATATATAGTTGTGACATATTTGTATTCCAGTGTGTGTGACAGTAACATATGGAATGTTTTGGGACTATTGGATTGCATAGAAGATGCTTGCTTAAAAGCTAGTGATGATGTCCTTTCCCTTTTTTGGTTTTATTCTCTCCTCTGGTATTTGGCATGCGTTCAGTAGCTGCTGGAACTGGAGAAAGGAAACACCTCCCAGAAGATTTCTTTGCTTCTGATGTTGAGATTCACAGATATTTAAAGGCACCAGAGTGTGCTAAAAAAATAGAGCATTCAGATTCTCCCCTCCCCACTCCAGTCTTCCCTGTCTTCCTCATTGCAGCTGGTACCTTTCTAGTCTGCTATTTGGGTTTGGTTTTGATTTTGTGAGAGAGAGAATGGCTGAGTGAATTCATGAAAAGCTACACAATTCTGCTCAGGTTATATGAATTAATTAATTGTTCCTTGCAGTTAGTAGGAGCTCACTGACAGAACAATGACCTGGGACTCACAATGGCGGGTTCTTTCCCCAGCTTTTCCACCAGCTTCTTGGATGATACTTCATGAGTCATTATAGCTTCATGCACCTTACTTTTCTCTTCCTATGTAATAGAGGAAATAACCCAAATTGTCATCATAAGATCCCTTAATTCTGTAGGTAAGAGTTTGTGTTCCAGGGATGACACATAAAAAGGTGAGGAAATCAGAACTAGATCTGTATATATTAAAAAACCCCACAACCCTACCTTTTGGAAGAATGATGTCACCTTACCTAAGAAATAGAAAAAAAAAAAAAGGGGTTATTTTCATGGAATAGTCACTGTGCAATTTAAGGATGTCCTTCACTTTTGCTAACACAGTTATTTTAATTAAACAACAACATCACAACCCTAAGAGGAATCCATGCAACTATTAAAGTCCAATTTTAATCACCATGAATATTTAAAGAAAAATATCAGAACTCTATTTTGCCTTTTGGGAAAGAAGATTGTTTTCAAGCTGGAAGCTCTGGAGCTTGTTTTTGGAGACTTCAGAGGACTGAGAAAATTCATTCTCTGTTGTGATAAGGAGTTTGGTTTTCAAAAATATTGTATGCAGATATTTGCTGAGGAGGAACCCAAATTTCTTTTCCACAGCTACTGGGACTATTCAGCACTAAAGATGTTTTAGAGGCATGACTCCTTCAGAGAACCTCCACTCCCCTGAACTATCTATGTGTCAGCCCAACCAATCCCAACCTAATGTGCAATATTTAGAGAGGGCCGAAACACTGTCCTAATTTTTGAATTGCTTAGAAACCTAAGATAAAATCTGAGTACTGAGATACAACACACCCTTCCACACACTTAGAGCTCTTCCCTCCCTCTACAAAGGGCAACTGAGTCTTGTTTAGGTTAAATCTCTGTCGTTTAAGTCTTATCCAACTCCTGATCTAAGTTTTGCAATGAAAAAACAAAGGCAGAACAACATCTGGACTGAAGGAAATGAAAGACAGATCTGTGTATCATCTTCATATTGACTAGTAGTCCAAATTGTTTACAAAACAATAGATAAAGAGTCTTGCTGTAATTACCAACAGTCGTTGTTTGCAATAGAAATGAACAGTCAATATTGGATACAACAAGGTCTAGCTTTAACTGTTTTTTCACTAGGAGGTACTGAGGGAGCTTTGGATCCCCAGCCCAATCATTTAAGCTTTGGCTTAAGAAAAAGTCAGACAAAAGAAAAGATGAATGTACTTGTGCTGACTAGTGACTAGGAACTCCAGACTGCCACCTCCCTTTTTCTCTTTGCTTAGAAGCATCAATGAATGGAAAAAAAACCCAACATTTCTGGCAGGAAAACAGAGAATGCTTTATTCTTTTCTTTCTTTTTTTTTTTTTCTTTTATTTATTCCTTCAGCCATTTGCATTAAAAATCTCACACACTCCTCAGCCTGTCTAGATTGAACTGTGGACATTGGTCCAGAAGTCACAGGCAAAGCCTGGTGTCTGGGATGGACATGTTCAGAATAAAAAAGAAAAGATCCGGAGCGATGATGAAATAATTTTCTTGTCATCATCTCTAGTTTCCTTGAGCCTCTTGTAGGTTTAGCTGTATAGAAATAGCCTCTTGTGTTTTATGAAGCACCTGTCTAGGGAGAAAAGGTAATATTAGATTTCTACTGTGTTATTCCCTATGCAATGGCAGAGGTGAGCTCATATTAATTTCTTACGGTTCCAAACAAGAATTCTAGATCTTAAGAGATGTTTTTGCTGGAGAAAAAAAGAAACAAATCTTGGTTTTTGACAACAAAAATAAACAAATAAAAAAACCCAAAGCAAACCCAAACCCAAATCCACACATTCAGCTGTGGTAACCCGAGACAATGTCACTGCTTCCCACCCAGTTGCTTTCATCGAACTTCTTTGATAAGTACCAGTCCATTGGAGAGTAGAACTTAGCTTTATGAGCATTATAAGAATTGTTTGTTCCCTGAGGAGAAACCTTAAGGTAATCCTTATTAGCACATTTTGTCTCAGCTGGCTGTAGTTTATTTGCTGTAAGGGCTGCCTGATTCTAATAAATGGCACACGAACAGTAACATGCTTGTTGTGTGGTTACTCAGGGAGTGAAGATGCAAATTTCTTATGGTTGTGGCTTTTAAACAGTGGAGAAACAGCTGCAAGGGTAAGTGGACCCTTCATTGGAGGCCAGAAACAGAGTTGTTGAAAAACGCAAAATAAGCAAGTAAAACGATTTTCACCCACCAGTGAGAAAAGGATATATTAGCATCACTGAGGTTTCACGTTTCTGGGGAGTGTCTATACTGTTCCTTCCAGACCTCAAAAGCAGAATTACAGTCCCATCCAGATCTTTATGGATTATTTTCCACCCAGTCTCTAGTGGCTGGTGGAAGTCAAATGGCTGTTCCATAGCACCAGGGGGAACAGTTTGTTCTCCTTAAAGGATTTCTGCAGAAGGAGTTACTTGGAAGAACAGAAGGTCCCTCCTCCTTAATTTACCCACAACAATGCAAACTTTTAATATTTGGTCTAGGTTTGTGGTAATTTAGTTTGAGAGTTTGATGGAGCAGCTACTACATGAGCAACTTTTGCCCACTGCTTCTGCCTGTGGGCTTTGCTACCGCAGGCTGGCAGCTCTCTGGTGCCAGGAGAGGGAAGACTATGTAGAAGAGAAAGAGAGACTGGTTGTTCCTAAAAAGTCAGACGGTATTTTCATAAGGAAGCAGTGTTTAGTATATTCTAATCTCTGTGATCATCTGCTGTGTACCAGATTGCTGATCTTTGCTGTGTGTGCAAAGATTGAGTGCCTTGGAGCTTAGGGCATGCACTGCATCCCCACAGCTTTCCATCTTATTTGTCTCTCTTCCCCACTACATCTCATGTTGCATCCTTACAGCCAGGCACTCCCTGCTCAAGCAACTTCTGGGATTCCACCACTGACAGTAACACATTTTTGGCTTGGACAGCATGAGCAAAGGAAATGTGGGCTGAACTCAGCGTGTAATTGCAACACAAATAATCAAACACACATACACATATGTGCCCAGCAGTCCCTAAGTATACCAGGTTATGGTCTGGGCTTATTTAGAACATGACAAGGTTTCCAGAGGTCTGATCCAAGCGTAAAACAAAGTTACACCAGCTGGACCAGCTACCAGAACTTTTTCAAATGCAACATCTATTCATCTTCCTTTAGTTTCTATAAAGTCATTGTTATCCAATTCTTAAAATATGTAGTACAAGTGAAAGATGTGAAATGCTATGAAACAGAGCCAATTCTGTCTAAGCCTGGCTGTGTAAAGAATGTTACTTCTTATGGAGAAAACGCAATATTTCCCTTTTCTCTGGCTCTCACGTGATCACTTGGAAAATTGTCTCAACTGCCCCAACTTCCCTGCTTATTGGGTCCATTCCAATGACCTCACTGAAGCTGCAAAATGATTGATCGAGCAGCAGCAGGGATTTTTCCCACACACCCCAAATCTGTTCCATTAAGTTATTCCAGTTCCTGGGAATGCAGGTTTGCAGGCTGGAGTCCTCTGATGCAAATTATTACTGCACCAAGTATCTCAACTGTACCTGTAAAGAAACGAAGGTACTTCCTGAAGGGCTGCCTGGGATTGAAATTCAGAGGAATTAGTTTTGCATCTGGATGACTTGAAGAAGACAAATTATATACCTATGCTTTTACTTCCTAAATTCTTTTGCAAAGGGTTGTGTAAGAGATGAGCATAATTTTAAGTCACAGACCGAAAATTAGATCCATAAAAGCCAAACCTTCCTACGCTGCAAGTAGTAGGAAGGAGGCATTAGAAGAATATTTTCTGCCTTTTAAAAAATTCGAAGAAATATGTTTTCAAGAAAGTATGGAAAATATTTTAGAATTAATGAGCTAAGGAGGCAACTAAGTTATCTCCATGGCACAGTGGTGCGTGGAGCAGAGATCACAGAC